TAAATCATGCTTGTGCCTAGTGGACGTGAGCAGATTTACTACTTCTTCCCAAGCATAAGTGTGATCCGATCCGAGCAGCCTCCTTGTAGTGTTCCTCCATATTTCTCTAGAGTAAAACCAATAACAAAAGAGCAGCCTCTCTTCTGCTGGCCGAAAAATAATGCATTCTACATTCTGACCAGAGCGTCAATTCCGCGTTCTATCCCCCGTGGTCAGCCAGTTTTGGACTGCTAATCATGTTAAAAAAGAGTACTTAGGAGTGTCATGTTTGAACCATACTCCTTTGTACCATGTTTTTTAGTGGTTGAGCAGTTCGGAGAAGCCGCAATGTACTTTTTGTGAAACCGTTGCTTGAATATATTGTCCGATTGTTTCCAATACGATATGTTAGCCCCTACCTTGCACAATGATTTAGCTTTCTCAATGGCTGTCTTTATTTCGTTAAGATATTCAATCCGCTGATTTCTACGACGATGATTATCAAAAACATCAGCCATTGTGGGCGTAGCTGAGATAAAATATTTTCATTTTCTAGACCTATTGGTTCTTTAAATCTCTTGGCCATCATCTTCTTCACGAACGTGCCACCATAAACTCTACGAACAGAGAATAAACCCAAATGATCACAATATGCTTTTTTTCTCTAAACAAGCCTATAAATTAAATTGCGGTTTTTCTTGGTTGTCGCAGAAATGACTTTTTCATTTTTTTTATCCGTTTAGTTTTTCGGATAACTTTGTCTCCATCTTCATGAACTAACCATCATGGACTGTACAAACATATAAGAAACCTAGTTCAGAATCTGCTTATCTTCTCCAACCAAACTCATAAATGAAATTGTGATTTATCTAGGCAATCTCTTGGAAGTGGCGGAGACTTACCTCCCAATAGTTACTCACCTTTTGTGGTCTCCATCTTATTTGAAACTTACATGTTCTAACTTAAGAGTGAAAAATATTTTCAATTTATTATAAATGGAATATATGATTTTTTTTTTCTTTGTTTCCTAAATTTGTATATATATATTCATATACATTTAAAGAATAAATCACAACTAGCTCTCTACCAGTTTTTTTACAACATTGTAATTAATTCTTTATTGGAAAAAGGATGAGAGGTTCACTTTAATTTATGTTTTACTTACTTATGGAAGAGGTTCATGTTAAATTTTGTTTTTTCCAAATTTTTCTTCTAAATTTTCAAAACAAATGATCAAATAACCATCCTCTATATATTAATTGAACAGACATTTGGTGAAAAAATCTTATGTGTCACTCAATGAAGATTTTAAGGAACACATTAATTAAATTAACCAATCAAAATATTTTAATTAAATTTATATTCTATGTTAGAAATCTCTACATATTTACATTAATTTTTTTAACATGAACTCACAAATACATGTATTACAAATTTAAAGCCA